AACCCCACAGGTATAATATGGACCAAATACCACCACCGTCCTTTGTTGTGGAAAGGTGAGCCGAGTAGTCAGGGGTGTTGGGGGAAAAAGGGGAAGCGGGGAAAAAAAAGGGGAGAAGCGAAGGGGGAGAAAAATTTTTTCCCCCCCCCCCCCCCCCCTCCCCATCTTCTCTCCTCTAACCCCCAAGGAAGGCCTGCGTAGCAAGTGTTTCCGCGCGTCTTCCATTTCTTTTAGCTCTCGCGCAATAATAACTCGATTGGAAACGCTTGCTACGCAGGCTAACGTTTCACAGCCTTCTGAACTTCTAAGTAGGAGCCAACTTCTTCAATTATCATCTATATGGTCATGCTTAATTAGTCGCAATATGGAGACAATTTTGGAGCAATATTCAGCTTCTGCGAAAGAGACACCTCTTAGGTGGATTAAATTGTTTACCGGCAAGCACTTTTATCCTCTACTTCACATTTTGGATAATAATCTCGTCTTGTCTTGTCTTGTTCCCAGGACGTTTAGTTAATGGCGAGAAAAGTAACCTTCAAGTTGATCTGGGTTGTCTTGATTTCCCGTAAGTAATTTTTGTATTAAAATATTTTATTAAATAATGAGTGAAAAATGTTGAAAAACCTGTGTCCTATTGAGTAGAGGGGCTCTCCTTTTACCCGTTTTATTAAACCAGACGACAACAGTCAATGAAAATCATTCATTGATTTCAATCAAAATACTCAATAAAAATCAATAAAAATCTATTGATTAATATTGATTGGCTTAGCCAATTAGTAAAAATCGATAATCACTCACCGAGAGCGCCTGAAAATTACTGATTTTCATTTATTGCTATTGATAATCAATAATTATCATAGTTATTTTATCTTCCTTTTCGGTAGCACAGGTAAACGTTTGCCAGCTGTTGCGTGTATAGTTTGGCTATTCAAATTATTCACGCGAGTTTATAAGGGATTAAGCAATGTGTTTTTCTCGTGGACCCTACAATTGATGTGTGACTTTTTAAAAGATTTTTCTGATATATTGAGCTAAGACTTCATTAACCGTGTTGCTTATTTCGAATCACTTCACCACGCTTTCTTGCTTTCAAGAAAACCTGATGTGTAATCTCATTGCTAGCGCATCACATTTCCAATCAAGGTAATGAACCTCCGAGTGTTGACAAGAGCTATCAAAATAGACCAATCATAGGGTATACCAGAATCTGGTATACCGGAAGGAGCTTTTGGTAAAAAGATACTGCAAGCGTTCCCTCGCTCTCGCCTCTACCGCCACCCCTCGCTGTTTTTTTTCTGCTTACATCTCTGCGCGCTGTCCCCACGATCTGAACGCATGGAACAAGCTAATGTTCTTTATAGGGCTTCCGGGCACGCGTTCCTGCCCCACGAACCGAGAGGGGCAGGAACGTGAAACAAAGCCCCAAGAACTCGTCTGCATGAGGTTAATCTTCCTAGTGAGACCTTAAAAGAAAAAACTCATTCAAGGGCCAATTTGTTAAGAGTTTTGGTGCCTTTATGTGCCTTTGTTAATCTCGGTCTCCTCATATTCTTGAGGGGCACCCAACGTCAATTTTTGAAAAATATCTGTTCGGAAGACGATTTGAGATCTAGAATTTTTGGGAACATTTGTTGTAAAATTTTTTGCTTGTTTGCCTCTCCTAAGTTTTTCGAACATCTGAAAAATGGTATAATTACCCGTTTTTAACGGATTTTTACCCTAAAAAGGTCACCTAGAATTTTCGGGAGCCTTTTTTCTGGCTGAAATTTTCGAAAAGGTAAGTTTTGATCCCTATAATTTTCGGATCACTAGACTTTCAGCTAGGAAATCCGAACAGATGTAAAATTTTTAGGGGATAAAAATATGCCTATATCTACCATTTAAATACTTAAATACGTTTAACAATGCTATGTTTAAGTGGTTTTGAACTATATTCTCGTTGGGTGCCCTTCATTCTTCCGGTTCCCTGCACCTGCTGAGCCTTTGTGGTCAAGAGAAGAACAACTGCTATACAAGACCTCGCTTAACTGTGGCAAATAACTACCAATGTACCCAGAGTCGATATTTAATTTTAATGTTTTGACGATGAAAGCTCACTGTAACTATAACAGTAAAATCTCTTCAGACTCTTTAGAGCTAGTTTTTACGGCTGACATGCAGAACTAAAAATGAAATGCTGAAATCAGTTTTACCTGTCTTTATTTTAGCCTGCACTAGAGATTGAAGGGGTTGAAGCTAACGCGTTTTCCTGTTCTTCTTTTCTCAGTTCTTATGGTTGAATTGGCGTCAACTCAGTTGATTCTGCCGTCGTCTTGTAAGTGAAGTTTATGCTATGCCCACCTGAGACCCCGACAGAGATTCCAGTCAGCAAAAATCATATTTTTCCTTTATTATATAATTATTCAGTTGTATTTTTGAGAATTTTACTGTGCAAAAGTCCTTGTCACTCGACCAGTTCCTCTCATTCAAAAACTACCTTCAAAGTAGCCACTATAAAAACGTGACCACAGGCACTGTAGATTCAGAAATCGTCTCAATTAAGGGTTTCAATCATAAACGTGACACCGCCGAGGCTCCTTGGCATACACAGACATAGCCCGGCATGTTCCAAGCTCCGAGACAGACACGGTTTAGCTCAATAACTACGGCCAGTGGCAGATCAAGGGTAATGATTTCCTTAGGACGGATGGGTAGCTTACTTTAAAAATCATATAGCTCTGATAAATTTGGTTTGCTCGTACATTTTATTCGAAGCCGGAGGTTGCGTTTTTAGTGAAATACCATTCCGAGGAAAAATCAATTAAGGACATAGTCCAGTACGACTTATTGTCCGTAAACAAAAAAAGTGCTCAGAAAGAGGCAATTAGATCCGCCACTTTCTGCAAGACATAAGGTTGCTCCTCCATGTACATTCAAATTGTTTTCGCCATTTTTTTCAGCGTCGCTGACCGTACATGTTTTACTGACCGTCGCAGTCGCAGTCACACCGACTCCTCATAATTCATCAGGTAAGTAAAGAGCCGGAAAAAATTCTCAGCTTGAGTCAGGAAGCAACAACTGAATTTAAGTATCCAGTAATATATAATAAACCCCATTTACAGGTGCAAAATGATCGGCCCGGCACCCCACATGTTTGGCACCATACTGGCGATTTTAAGGAAAGGCTCTATCCAGTCACACGACCCAAAATAATGATATGTCCAGTCAGAATCGTGTACAGATGTGCGATGTTTTTCACATGCTCACTGGAAAAATTATACGTCCAATCAACAGCCACCGCAGCGGTTCGCAACGAAACATTTCGAAACTTCGTTTCTAGGGTCTTTTCAATCTCCAGTAGGGTGACACCATTTTAAAAACCGGGAGGCCCCTGGGGATGAGGATGATTTCACGGCACCCCTAAAAATTACGGTCCCAATGCCAAATTTTGTACTGTATCGATACGTTTACACGTAGGTGATTGCGAGAGCAGCCTGCCACGCCGACTTTCTTAGGGGTTCGTCACGCGTTCCTGCCCCACTAACGTCTACTTAACCGAAAGTGAATCCCTTTCCCATTGTTCGCAAATATCAGCTGGAGATCACATGCAGATTATCGGAGAACCAATTGGCGCTGTTGAAGTCAAAATGTTGACAAGCCAAACACATACGTACAAGCTCGGTAGAGTGTGATACGTGACCAAAGATTTTTGCTCCAAACGAGAATCTAGGAGATAAGCCTTTATTTTTGTATGTTTCTCTCTGTAAAGGCCGAATTAGATGTCATTTGCTCATAAAGTCGTTCCTTGGGTGATGCAACGGCTGGGTTACCTTGTAACTGAACAAAAGGCAGTATTTTTTTCACACTTTGTTGTTTTGTAGTAAACCCGACTTTAGCCTGAGCATCAGGCGTTTCTGGGGAAAAGGGGAAAGATGGACGGGAAAAAGGGAAAGAGCTTCTCCCCCTCCCCCTCCCCCATCTAAAATCTCCTCTCCCCTAGCCCCTTAAGAAGGCCTGATACTCAGGCTAACCCGACTTCCGTTGGGTAAATTTAACCTCCGAGGTAATTTTTTTCAATGAGAAGGTGAGGGTAGCCTCTAGTACGAACGCTTGTGAGTTAACTGATTTGACTGTTCTAAAACTGTAAGGTCTTCACCTTTCATGAGACCTTTCTGATCTTTTCTGGAGCTAAATCAAACGCGAAATTTCTCTCGGTCCAAAGTGCACTTCCCAGATCTGGAAGTCTGTTGTGATATGTCTACGTTTTTCCGCTCAAATCAGGAGACTTTAGTGGGGCAGGAACTCGTGACAAACCCCTAAGGAAGTCCGCGTAGGAGGCTATTTCGAGGGCAGTGCGGTGCCCAAAAATTGCCATCGCGGTGCCAAAATTTTGAAGAGCATGCCTATTTTTTGGGCGCGTAAATGGGGTTAGGAATTTCCTAAGCTATCGTGATGACATTTTTTAAAACATTTTCTCGTAGAATGTTCCAACTACAAATTTCTAATCGAATCCAACAGAGCAAGAACGTACTTCAACACTTCAACTGTGTTGTGCGACACATCCCTGTCGGGATGGTACAGATTCAGCGGAAGAGCTGGCAATCAGATGGCTGATTCGTGTGTTGATCATAAACACTGCGGTACAGCCGCTCCCGGATGGATGAATGGAGGTCATCCGTCAGTAGCTGAAAGAGTGGTTTCGCGCTCAGTTTGTTTTCGATCAAAATCAAATTGCTGCAAGTGGTCGATTGTCATCAGTGTCCGTAACTGCGGAGGCTTTTATGTTTATTGGCTTCAGAGGCCACCTCATTGCAACTTTCGCTACTGTGGTAGTGGGATCCAACCTACATCAGGTACAAAACGTGAGCTATATAGGCTACTTCACGTCGCATATCGTGCAGTGATGGCAAAGAAAAGCACAAAAAAGTGTGCTGCACGTGCAGAGTTGTTGCTTTGCCCTATTCAAACTATTGCTTTTTCGACGTTCTCTTTGCCGTTTCCGTGATGACACCTTAAACTCCTTATTTTCGAGCGCAAAAGCCGCGCTACTTACTGGTTTGGTTGGTATTGACTATATTTATTCATTATTAAAGAGGAAAGGCCTTTGCTTTTTTTTCTCTTATCGCTCTCCTCCTTTCCTTTTCCCGTCTCTTCTTTTCTGGTTCCTTAGTTTTTCGAGTAGGTGACCCACATTTGTTATTAATATTATTATTATTATTGTAAGTAGTAGTAGTAGTAGTAGTAGTAGTAGTAGTAGTAGTAGTAGTAGTAGTAGTAGTAGTAGTAGTACTATTAATATTGTTTTATCACTGAATATCACTTGAGCTTGCAACTACGTCTCTGGGATGTAAACTCCACCTCCAATATCCCCTGTGGCTCCCCTTCGACTGAACTGTGAGATTTCCGTCAGTCAGCGCGAAGGGGAAACGAGCGCGAATGTAAACAAACATGGAAAAACACTTACCAAGGGTAATGTCGTTATTACTAATGTCATCTCCGCCAATCAGCATTTCGCATCGACCTTTTCGATGCAGATATTCAAATTTTAGAGACGTAGTTGCAAACTCTCTTTCCTTTTCCCCCATGCTGCCAAAGCGCCCCGGAGAGCTTGCTCGCAGGCTAGTTTCTGGACGGCAAAGTAACTCGAGAAGCGATGACACTGTACCCATAAAAAGCGGGAAACTTGGCGCAAAACTCACGTACTGTGGTGGCTTTTGATTGGACGTATCATTTTTGGCACATGTGAAATACCTCGTACGCGATTCTAATTGACATATTATTTTTTTCACTTGTCAAAAATATTGTTCGCTCCTCTGATTTGGCTAGAACTCCTTTGCGTATGCAAATATACATATATTATGTGTATAATAAAATGAAAGTTGCTTTCGGATAAAGAAAAATTTCATGTCATTTATCATTTGATAATTAACAATTATTCTACGAGTGCGTTGGATTACCCTGGGTGCCAGAGGTTTTTCTCGCGTACGGCGGGAATTTTCGGTGTTGACCGAAGGCCGACACATCTTCGACCGTAGGCCGAAGCCGCGAGAAAAAACAAAACAAATGTGGGTCACCTACTCGCGCAAGTCACGATAAAGACTTGACAGAAACCGGAAACCGCACTGGAAAAGTCTCTGGCACCCAGGGTAGCGTTGGATATGAGTTGGCTATAATTATCTCATATCCAACAAGAGCGAGTGGAATAATTGTTTTTATTAAAAACGCCCACAAAATATCGAGTATTCTTCCCGACTTTATTTGTAAAACAACCGATTTTCAGCTTATTTTTAATTTTGAGCAGGCGCTTACAGTTGCTATATTTGGAGAGCATGGTATACCGGCTCATATACCATGATGGCTAAGCCAATCAGAGCTCTAGAACTGCATTATCCAATGATTTAGTTTTTAATAATAATCGTTAGTTCTGTATAAGAGGAGAGCTCGAAAACAATCATACTCAAAGTTTCTAACGTTTCAATTTCAGCTTTGCCAACTCACCATTATAATTACTTCTCTCTTCACAATTATGAATTTTCCTTGCACCCCTCAAAACGCAAGCCACATGCAAAGATTAGCGCAGTCTTGGTGAGCGGCTTTCTGTGCTAGAATTTCCGAGTTCCATTCCTGAGTGTGATCTTAAATCCTTGTTTCGACTTCTCTTCTTTCTGTGTNAATTCATAATTGTGAAGAGAGAAGTAATTATAATGGTGAGTTGGCAAAGCTGAAATTGAAACGTTAGAAACTTTGAGTATGATTGTTTTCGAGCTCTCCTCTTATACAGAACTAACGATTATTATTAAAAAAGGTCGGGGGGTCCAAGGAGGAGTCAACATCTCACCAATGGCATTTTGATGTCTTACAGAATTTCAAATGAATTGCACCTTGGCAGCCATCAACATTTCAACAGTAGTCAGTGAGTAGTGCATGGCAATCTGCACATTGTAAAAAAAATGAATAACGCCACATCAAAATTTCTTTTTTATTTACGGTTCCAACTACAGCACAGCCTACTCATTCGTCAGGTAAGAGATTTTGGCTTCATTTTATTAGTCCAGGGGTGTTAGCCTAATTCTACACTTCATTCCTAAATGAGAACGCCGGAGAACAAGAAAAGTCTTTGCATTTAAAAAGTGCCAACGAGTAATGAGAATTTTACTGCTTCTGCTCGGGAGGCAGCTGCAAGCTCTCAACTATTTGAGAAATTCGCCTTCGTTTGGGAATGCGTTAAACGATCTCTTCGCACTGCACATTATGCAAAAATTTCTCCACAAGGAGATTTTTCTAACTGTCAGTTTCTGTCGACAGTTTCCGATTTCACCCGAACGTCTGATCTTAGAATGGTAAATGTGGAGCCATTATACCAGATTGAAACTATGAAGTAGACAACTTTTCTTTTGTTTTGCAGTTTGCCCACACTTGATCCTCAGCGAGACATCAGGAGTAATAACCAGTCCTAACTTCCCGCTAAATTATCCAGAGAACCAGATATGCAGCTGGCAAATAATAGCAAGAAAAGGAAAACGTGTAAAGTTGGTCATTCAAAGTTTAGAAATTCAATACTGCAGAGCTTGTTCCTGTGATTATCTGGAAATAGAAAATGCCTCTTTTGCAGATGGTACTCCAAATAAGAAGCGGGAATGTGGTGTCTTCTTTGGCAACATAACATATTATTCTCAACAGGACCGTCTGAGAGTTCTCTTTGTTTCTGATAGCAGCCAGCGGGCGCGAGGATTCACGGCAGTATATACTCAAGTGGCTTACAATACCTCAAATGGTATGTTTGGTGGGGGTGTTCCAGCAACTAGCTCGCTAAGCGCTGAGGTCCCGAGAGTCTCTTGGTCTTCATTGTTCTTTGACTTCTACTGCTCTTACAAACACAACTAACTCTTAACTCCAAGTCACTCCTCTAAGTAGCGGTTTTGATAGCCTAAGCTGGACATGTTTGGCTTAGCTGACCCTGGGGATAAAAATAAGGTGCAGTGTGGGTAAAGTTTGAAGCTATATGGTTGCGGTCGGCGAAAAGCTACATGAACAAATGATAAACTAAAACGCTGGTTAACAAGCCCAAACAGGAACTTCAGTGGGACCAAGGTCAGCTCTAACATCACAAACATGTCCATCTTTGAGAAACTAACATCTCACAATGGCAAGCGAAGAATATTCCTAAAATGGCATTAAGTAAATTCGCGAGCTCAGCAAAAATTCAATTTCAAGCAAAAACAAAAGATCAAAACAGGAAAATACCTTTTTGGACAGAAACAAGACTAACCTTGACCTTAATGTCACAAAAACAAAACATAAAAGGTGAGACAGATCTCAAAAATAAATTTCAAAATACTTCACAACACTTGGGACCCTTTATCAAATAACGAAGGATACTTATCTTTACAGTGAATTCCCTAAACCGCGGCAGGCTAGCTCAGTCGGTAGAGCGCTTGACTGCAAGAACGGGAGACGGTGCTAGTTCGATCTCCGAGACCGTACTAGTACTTAGGGTCTTAAAATGACTGAGGTAGAAAACATTGCAAAGGGCTCGACCTATGCGACCTATGCGTAGCTCGGATAAACAAGTGTAGAAATGGCCGTCCCGTTTCCTCGAGGAGACGTTAAAAAAATAGTGTTGTACAGTTCCCCTAATGATCCCAAAAATGCTGTACGCCGATACTTTCGTGGTCACTACGTACGTAATGGACTAAAGTTCCTTCTTCTCTTCTTCTTTTTCTTCTTCTTCTTCTTCCTTACCCACGTTTTCTCTATACAAATATTATCAAAAATAAACGAAAAACAGTCGTAAACAGAAAGCCTAACAACGTTTAAAATAAGTACTTGTTTTCGACTATTGATAAGACTTTTCACAACCACCACTTCATTTCAACACACTGCAACTACACTATTCCTTCATAACCAAATTAGCACTTCCACAATTACCTCACTGCAACACCTAAAATCACTTTTACCTCCCTTCATATTAAATTCTACGAGAAACAAGTCTCACTGACTAACAAACTACAGCCGGGCTTACAAATTTACGTCCAATATAACTCAACGCCCTCCACTTCACGCATCTCAACCAACCCCTGAAATATACAGCGCAACTGAACTACTCACACATCCCTAATACATATTAAAAAAGAGTTCGCACACGCGTCGTACATCCACGCCCAAATTTACGCTCCCACAGCTTCTTGTTAAATCTGCTTTAAGACCTGAACGTTTATACTGATAATAACAAGCCATGTACATCGTTAGTACTCCGCCATTACCTAATATGGTCAGATTCGGAGATAGGACAAGCAAGGTTCGCCATATATGAGGCCCATACACCAAAACTGATAAAGAACGTTGTCAGAGTTAAGTAAAAACTGAATGTCAAAATACCGCTTGTAACATTTTTCCTTTTTAGAATGTTCCAACTACAGATTCCTTGACGAAATGAACAGGGCAATAACGTATTCCAATATTTCATCATGGCCCTGCGATACCAATCTGTTGGCCGGTTGGTATAGATTTAGTGGAGGGGCTGGAAGTCAGATGGCTGATTTTTGTGTCAGTGATTTATTTCGAAAATATTGCAGCACAGATGCGCCCGGATGGCTTAGTGGCGGTCATCCCTCAGTGGCTGAAGGAGTTGTCCGACGTAAAGTCTGTTTCCCTGGCGCTATTCGGGGTTGCTGTGGATATGGTAGTAATATTAGCGTCCGTAACTGTGGATCTTTCTTCGTTTACAAACTTCTGCCTCCACCTCATTGTTACCTACGTTACTGTGGAAACGGTTTACCACTGGCGAGAGGTAAATACATGCATGATTTTTGGTTCAATCATATCATGCCTTTTTACACATGTTGGTGTTAAGACAATCAGGCAATCCAGTTTTATTGATTTAGTACGTTATCCTAGAGTCAACCTCGCTCGCATAGGGCTTTTTCCCGCCCTTCCCATTTTCTAACGGGAAAGGTCCAGGGAATGAGGTTGTCCTAGAGTAATTATTTTTCCAGGTAAAATAAAACAAATTCCGAAAAAG